TTCCTCTCTTGTAAAACTCTTTTTTATAGTGTTATTTATCTCTGATTATTGCACCTAACATGCTCAGCCATCCAATGGTTTGTATGGATTTGGATTACTGTATTGTGCAAAATTTGCCAGTTGTGGTTTATGGGATAAATGATGATTCAATAAGTCTTGGTTTGGCTTCCTCACATTACCATATTGTTATGGTCTGATGTCTCATACATACCTTAATACATTTTAGGTCGTTGTTGTACACCTCCTTGTATGAATGGCTTATAAATACAAAACAAAGACTCACTGCCATGAAATAAAAGTCAAAAACTCTACCAAGTACAACATGGTTGAAGCAGCTCTTATTATTCTTTCACTAATTTTCTTACTCCTGCTTTCCACAGGGATTTCCAGGTGCTGCAATTTCTTCTCTATAGCATGGAGCTGCAGCATGGAGAAAATTTCTCAGCTCATCAAGTTCCTGATATTCACTGATCATACAGAGACAGGGCCTATTAAGAGCAAGGAAGCAGCTGCTAAGTTTTGCAGGAAAGTCCCTGGGAATTTGTAATCATAAAGCGTAAAGGGCATTTATTTCCTGAATGAAATGAGAGAGACAAACATCAGCTGCACACACAGGTTTTTGCTTTTAGCATTTGGGGAAGCAGGAAGCTTTCTGCCCCAGTGAAGCATGAGAAAGGAACACTAAATTTGAGAATTTTAAAAAGAATTGTCACCTCTTGCATGTGAAACCCTTGACTGAAATTAAGAAACGCTTGGGTTTTCTTCTCTTCTCCCCCCAATACCTCTGTCAGTATTTCTAGAATGATTAGCAGCAAATTTGCAGCCTTGATGGACAGGTTCCTCTCACTGCTTAACACCACAAATGGATCATTTGTAAGCTGCGGGTTAAATTACTAATAGTTTAGTGGTGACAAGAAGCTTTATATATTTTTTCCTCACCCACCCATTTACACGTACCTGGTATCCCACTACTGCCAGCATTCCTTACAAACTTAACTGAAGTCAAACTACTTCAAGTAACAATGGACAATGTAGTAATTGGCAAGTATCGCATGAGAAAGAGGGAGGCTACAGGTATGTATCTTACTTAGTATTCCATCAATGCTGTTTGCTGCATCATCTTACATCATCTGGGTAATGCTTCTTGCAATTCATTGTCTCATCTAAGTTTAGTACATTCAGATTTTTTAATTAGAAAATAAAAGAAAAGCTAACATCCTATAAACCAAAACATCAGCCTCGCATACAGGCTGTTTCCAAAAACGTCTGTGGGCCCAATGGTGTTTTTACTCTTGCTAGGTGCGGTGCAGAAACCCAACCCAAGTTAGCAGCGTGATCATATGTGCCTTTACCCAGAAATCCAACTTTGTTAGTGAAATCTGCACTCCAGTAAGCATGCAGGTTTACAACCCCAAGAGTCCACAAATCTATGGTGCAATGATCTTCAGCCTGAGTTAGAGGCTGGTGATGAAGAAAGGAGGGAGATGCCATTCTTAAAGGGATGGAAGAGGTTAGCTGCTAATCTGGGGGAATGCTAAAGTGACACATATGGAAGGTAGGAATATCAGTATCCTAAGAGGCCTTTTACTTAATCCCAGCTCACTGGCAAATGAGCCCTGCAAAAAGCCAGCGAGCCTTTTCCATCTGCTTAGCACAGCTTCTCTGTGGCAAACTCCAGATTGGAACTCTGACAGTGTGGAAAGATTATTGTGCTTAACCCAGGCTCAACTTAAATGGGGGAAGATGAGTTGTGGCAGACAGACAGAGGCCAAGGGGATACGCAAAGCCTGGGTTTGGGTCCAGATCTGTAACCTGATTGTATTTAATGCACATATTATGACCCCTGGCCACCTTTTTGCTCACTTCCCCTCGTTCAAAGATTGGTGGGGGAGATACAGCTTTAAATAAACTGGAATACAATGCACTTTTTTTTTTGGTCTTTCTAGAATTTCTGTGCATGTCCTTTTCCAAAGGTGGCTTTTTGTTTAAGAAAAAGGACAATTTTTCTGCTATTAAAGCACACAGGTCAGAGAGAGAGAGAGGAGAGAGATTGAAGGGCAAAACTGGCATTAGTAGATTTCTGCTCTTTACAAGATATAGCCCAAAAAAGGCAACTGTTTTCCACCCAGCTGAAGAAAATATTACTTTTGTGCCCATCAGGGGAGGAGGGTGTCTTGATTGAGAAATACCCAATTTGCAAGATTCTTTTCATTTTCCTTCACAGGGAGGTTCACCTCTCACATGCAGAAGCTCAGCCACAGAAAATGGGAGTTGCTCCTAATGAAACTTACAAACCCGTCTACAATCTTTTTAGTACAAGAAACGGCTCCAACCTAAAGCGCCTTCTCCCTCCCCATCATCCCCCCCAAAACAAAGGCTTTTTGCTCCAGACAGTTAAGATATACATAGAATTCTACAACCTCACCTTGCTAGAAAGGCCACTGAGGTGTTAAGAAAAAGGATGAGACGCAAAGGTGCAGGCTGGTAAACAAACGTGCCAAGGAACTGGGGTCACATCTAGTATCGGCTCACTTTTGAAGAGCAACAGCATTTTAGGGGCAATTACCTGAGAACAACTGAGATCAGCGGTTGCAAGGGCAGGTTATAAATATTATTTCTACACCCCTCCTATGGAAGCACAAATGTGATGGTGCACAGATGTAATGACTGAAGCCTACGGTGGTGGGCAGGAGAGCACATTGTGTTCAATTTCAGTCCCTTTCCACACATTTCATTCAGATTCTCTCTTCTGCGCTGCAATCTTAAGGCGGGAGGGGTGGGATCAGAAATTGCACTTTGCCCGTCATTTTCATCCCCCTGCCAGCTTTTGCAAACCAGAATGAGCACAGCTTGATTATCTGTATCCTGTGCAGTTAGTTCCTTTGCTTTGGAGGGGGAGCTTGAACTCCGTGTACTATATGTAGAGTTACTTATAATAAGGATTCAGTGTCAATGCTCAGTGTCAAGGAGGAAGATATTCCAACTCTGGAACTTTTTTTCAGCAACTGCCTGAACTCATTCAAGCTCTACTGCCAAATTCATGTAGCATGGGTGTGCTGCTGATTCAGGCAGGAAACTTAAAACTTCAGCCATAAAACTAAGCCAACAAAAACCTGCAACCCTAACACAGAAGACAAAATGTTAAATGACAACTTTAGCCACATGCGACATATCCTGGCCCACCGCATTACGGGGCAACCATACTAAGGTGATGGTTTTATTACTGCGATATGTTGTTCCACATAAGCACATTTTAGCTTCATTGTTCCTGGAAAGAGACCTCTGTCTAATAATTATACATTTAATTAGTACTCCTATTGTACAGGAGGAAAAAAAACACTTCAGGACTTCACTTCCGAAGCCTGTAATAATTTTTGAAACTCTTAACTAGATGGTTAAAAACCTTTCTGAACACAGGTATTGCTTTCTTTTTTTTAATCAATCTATTTGTAACATAATCACTCCGCAGATAGTTGAGCATTAAGAAGCTTCACCATTAAGCCTTTGTTAAGGCAATAAAGGTCACACTTAACACAAGGAGAGAGATTGCATTCACATACCTCTTTCAGACCGGTACAATGCCAGACTTGGATTACATATCCCATCACCAGGTACTCTTGGTCCGTTTAAGCTGTCCAGCAGAAGGGGAGAAACTCTTATTTTATGAAAAGGGCAAAGAGTTTAGTTCAGCAGCAGCAGCCACATTATAAAGATGTACTGCATGTAAGAGGGCACAAACCCATTAAGCAAATGCGCTGAAGATGTGCACTGTGTGATTTCGAGGAGGCAAAATCAAAAGGCTCAGTGCGGTCACTTGCGCTGCGGCTGTTACACAACACAATTATTTTTGAGGTCAGGTATTTTTAGCCAAAAACAAGGGTATATAAATTTAGAACTAGGTTTCCTAGGGGAGAGGAAAATTACTTTTATTATCTACAGGGAGACTATTTTGGTGTTGGTGTGCAGCAGATATCGGAGAGAGTGAAAAGAAAAACTCTGGGTATTTTATTCCGACACTGTTTATTAAGTTTTTTTTCCAGACACTTCTTCCATCTCTGAGAGGGAGGGGAAAAGGCACTTAGGATGTGATTACGCAATTTTAGTAACCAGCTAAGATGCCAACCCAGCTAAACATTATAAACGATCATTAATCCCAACCATGAAATATAAACTTTGCACATTCCATTCCTCCAGTAATTCCATTTCAGACGATCTTTCTATGAACAAGGAAGAAGATGGGGCTGCCGATAGTCCTGCTAGGGAACTTCACACTGGCTTTCCTTTTTCAGCTTTGCCTTATCCTTCCGGGGCCCAGCATCAAGACTTTCATGTGCTGACAAACTGCTAGATGCTGTGCTGCCTTTGATCACACCCTCAGTTGAGCAACAGAACTCATTTATTAATTTCCCTTTAATGCTTCTACTCAGATATGCTTTCAGTCCCCAACAGGAGCAGGTACATGTAATTTTAATTAGAGTATTACCAGTCTCCTGCATGTTTCTTTGTTTGCTAATGAATGTTAGTTGTCTCCTGGTTAAACTTCATAAATCCAATTTGCAATTGCTCCTGAAAAGAACCAGAGATCTCCAGAATTTAAGCAAGTAACTTAGGAACACTCTAATTTCCCAACCCAAAACACAAATACATACACATCAAAGGGGCAGATACCACTCTCCTCACTTTGAGCCAGCAAACCACTTGGTAATCCGTAATCCATAGTAGGAGTAACCCATCTAAGACAATTGGCTGCTTTTCCCGAAAATGTAAGGGACAAAACTGTCAAATAATTATACCACACACAAGACAAGGGTTCTGTTTGTATGGCAAATCTTATGTTTTAATGGGGCTTTCTTGTTTCCTTATTTTAATGAAAGAAGTCTAAAAATACTGTGTTTCCAAAACTTCTGTAGCAAACCACATTGCTAAATTGTTATCATTTGTAAACCATTTCAAAGCAGCAGAGACTTCATCCCAGGCAACTGCTGCCTGCAGAGCCCTCAAGATGGAGCCAGACCACACCACAAGATGCTTCAATGCTTTGTCCAACCAAAGCAGTAACGGTGGTGGCATTGTGTGCAATACTGAAGTAGATGATCTGATTCGCGAATTTAGCACAGAACAGCAGAGAAAGGGTGGATAAAAACAGTTCTTGGAGAAGTGTTAGAACATGCCATTTTGTTTCCCCAATTGGACAAAAATGTGTTCCTTACTTGGCCCTTTTTACTTAGTAACTCTGATATTGATCTACCTCTCCCCTTAATGTGCAAGAGCACTCAGTTGTTCAATAGCGCTTTCAAAGATGCAGATTAAACAAGACTATTGATCTGGTGAGAAGGACAAGGGACAACACACTCTTCATAGAAACTACCACCGGCTTGCCATTTCTCTAAGCCGAGTTCAACAAGCCTGAGATTCAGGCTGCCGGAAGAATCAACCGCAAGAAATCACGCAGTCTTCCTCTCCAGTGACCCACGGCAGTGAGAACCCAGGGCAACTCAATCGCTGCTCCTGATGAGATTCAGCACAGAGCATCCTGGTTCATCAGCCACCCACCTCTTTCTGAGCAGGAGCAGGCCAAGATTCCCCTTTAGCCAGAACAAGCTGCCTCGTTTATTTAAAGTTTGCTGTTCTGCTGAAACTGAGACACCAAGGAGAGAACCTGCTCTGAGGCTTTGATCTGCTTAGTTCCAAGGTATGTGGTGCTGTTGGCCGTCGTGTCCTCCAAGAAGTATCGATAGTTGACCATCATGCCGCAGGAGGCCGTGATGCCGCGGGGACTGGCGTCTGCCATCCAGTTCAGGCGCCACAGCACTGCGCCGTTCTGGAGGTGGAAGTTCGCCACGGGGTTGAGAGCATAGCCACGGTGTTTCTCTCCATAGAGATACCAAGCACAAAGCCTCATAAGGGGCTGCTGTAAGACTTGAACCAGCCTCTCCGATTTCACCCACCCGTTGTTCGTGAAAAGGCGTTTCAGAGTTTCGACAGCGGGGTCTCCCGTGATCTCGCAGATTTCTTGGAACTCAGGATCTGTGAAAGGGCTGCTCCTGCCCAGATCGCTGGATTGTGAGGAGAGCAGTGCAACCAGCCATTTGGTGAACCCCGGAATGGGAGACAGAGTCGAGAAGACTTGGATCTGAGGAAACTCAACCTGCGGATTTTCAGTGTGTTCAAAACAAAACACAGATTTGGGTATGCTGAAGGAGGACTGAAATCACAACAGCATCAAACGTTTAGAACAGCAAGTGCAAACAGGTTGGAGATGAGGCTATTTTCATCACAGGTTATTGTTATATGCATTTCATAACTTTATTTCAGAACGTGGTGAGATGTACCTATTGTGGAAGTAAAACACTGAATTCCTCATTTCTGCCTAATAAAATACCATCTGCCCAAATTCTACACTCACAGGTTTGAGAGGCAGTAAATTACCTACAGAGCATTTCTAAAGCCTTGATTAACCATTCTCTCACAGATACTAGATGTATTTTCAAGGATTTTTAATTCTTGTTAGGCCCTGGAAAATCTGCAGAGAGACAAATTTGTTCGGCAGATAAAAACCTCCCACCCCCCTTCCTAGCACTTCATATTTAGCAACTGAGCAGCAAAACAGCTGTAATACTCCACTATCTTTCCAGAAACTGACAGATGTTGTCCTTATTTTGCCCCCCTTTTTTTTAATTTAGGGAAACAAAAGATGGTGCAGTGTAACATGGATCTTGAATTTGAGGAATCTAAGGCTCCAGGTCCACGAAAGGAGTTATGTGCCAAACAGACAAGTAATTCTCAATTTGCAATACTTCAAAGATCCAACAACTTGAACTAGGACATGAAGCCTTCTTATAATTATTTTTTTAAAAAAATCGTGCTCAAACGGACACTAAATACATAGGCAGTATTCATATTTCTATGATTATAAATGTTGTGCACCTCAAAAACTATGTCTTTAGGGCAGACTTCTCTATGTTAAACAGAGTATTTGTTCCATAAGCCCAGTCAATGTCCGTGTAACGGGAAAGCCTTGTGCCACCACTGAACCATTTCTTCTTCTAATGCAGATCTCAGCAAAGGCAGAAAGCAAGCTTGCAGGCCTTCCCTCTATTATCACCAAGAAAGCGTGGGAGAATCCAAGGGTATTCTTGTTACCTGAAGACCTCTGTACTACAGACACTTTATTTAAAGTACATTAGGCCAAAATCTTTATTCTTCACAAAATGTGAAGTCCAGAAGCTGCTGGGAGAATAATTTAGTACTGCATAAAATCAGCATGTTGGTCACATATCATCCTAAACTATTATGTGGCGTGTTTGCTTTTAGCTTCTGGGATGTATGAACTCACTCATTATGGTGTGGTCTTGTGTGTGAACCAATCCATTATAGCTTGTTTAACAAATGATGTAAACAAAAAATCCTGGCTTTGTGTATATGTGAACTCAGCTTATCTGCTATGTACAATGTGGCTGGCAATGAAGGCGACCTTTGTTTTATTCATGAAATATAGAGACAAAATATACTACCATTTTTAAAAGGGAAGACAAAACATGACTTTATTAGCAATACGTTCATCAGCAACCTTAGAATGAATCAGATTTACTGCTCACTTCTGCTAATCTTAAGAGGAGTTTTTAGAATGCAACACCGCTCATTTAAGACCCAGACAGAAATAAAAACTGGATTAGAAGAGGTACTATCACCATGGCAAAATCTGTTCTTTCAAGCAATCTGATTGGCATTAGTGTCCCATTAAAGACACAGTATTCACAAGTATTCTGTTTTCCCTTTTTAAGTTTTCCCCATTCAGTTTCCAGGGGTCACCTGCAGCTCAATTGTAAAATAGTTAAGATCTGAATCACTGCAATTCAAAAGCCCAAAGCATGTCTCTTTGCATTCTGATATATCCGTGACAGCAATAATATAACATGTTCTTTTTCTTGGGAAATTAAAAGTTACAGAAGCTTGAAATTAAGTGATTTGGAATTAATCAAATAGATGAGAGAAAACAAAGCAAATAATGATATATCTTATTTTCCCCACATTGTTTATTCCCCAAAGGATATTTGAGATTCAACCATGAGAAATGTATTACAATACATTAATATCTGAAGGAATGAACCTCAGCAAATGGAGCAGTACCAAGTAATTTAGTTTGGTATTTAAATGAGTAGGCTGCACTTTTAATAAAGCAAATTCTAAAGAGTCTGCCTTAAAACTAAAGTTTACCAAAACATGTTCTCTCTCTGGACCTACGTTAAGTAAACAGCCCACAATCCTCAACAGCATTTGTGAGATGTTTACTTCAAACCCTAATAAGAAAGGTACAAAAGTTACCCCAAAAAGATTTTCACATACAATGTACACATGATATGTTTCTAGGCAGGAAGTTCCTACGCTGTAAAACAGCAAACTGCATTATTGTTTTCCCACCCCCACCCCAAGGGTCCATACCTTTCGTACAAGTCTTTAATGTTACCCAATTCCTTTTAATTAGGCAATTGGATAATATTAATGACTTTTCGCTGTGGTGTTTCACAGGACTGGAAGACTGTCTGAAACCTGGAGTCCTGCAGCCAGCCCAGCTGGCTAGATGAATCAGTTGTCTGACTCAGTTTAAGGAAACTCTGCATTCCGGTGTTGTGTTTGAAATGCAAGGGCACCGAAAGGAATTAACGTACAAATTAAATCCTAGTTCAACATCCAATTGTGCACATACCTGCAGTTCTTTAACAACTCGCTTGATAAGATACGTCCCAAGCTCCACACCCTGCAGGCCCTGCTGAGTCAAGCTGATTGAGTAGAAAATTGCTGTGGTAATTTTGTCCAAATCTTCTGCTTCTAGCGAGGGAGCCTCTTTTACTATGGCCTAGAGAAGGATTAAGATAATGAGTAATGGCAATCATGGTTTGAATTCAAACAGCTTCACAATCCAACAAACGCAACAAAGGCCACTATTCTGCAAGTGAACAATTTTGTGCACACAGCTTGGCTCTGATTGCCAACTGAGCACTTGCTCTCCCACCAGCTGCACCCATGACTCTTTCGAAACATGCTATAATTTCAGAAACAGTTGTGAAAAGGCATTACAGCTGCCAACAGAAATAGAACATTTGTCTGAATACAGGCAAGACCTTAAATTCGCCCTAGAGCAAGTTTAAGACTATGGCCAGTGGTGCTTTTAGGGCCAACAGTTTCACTCAGGAACCATTATTAAGAATGAACAGGATTCTAACAGTTTGTTCTGCCAAAGCGTCTAGTATTTAAGGCTCCGCTACACTGCCTCAATTCAGATACTGTAACAAGCTACTGTATGTACAAATCATAGATTAGAATCCTAACAATGGCTTAGTGCTGAGCATGTTCTTCCTTCTACTTTTCTCAGCATTCTTTGCTGTACACACAAGTGGTTCCGGAAGCAGAGCAATATAATTATGATGTGCTGACTGAAATATACACATGAAGACAAGCAGATAAATGTTTTAATAAATAAACCTAACCCAAACTACAACTGGCAAATATATAATTTCTGAAATGGGTCATTCGCCCAACGCAGCCGTTGTGCAAAACTACAGGGCTTCCTTAACCACATATTTGGAGTTCTGCTTGAACGGAGCTATCGCCTCCATGAATTGGACAATATTAAAATTTTCACCACAAAATTACCCCTCTAAAGATAGCATGTACATAAATATTATTTACTCTCGCAATAGATGTTTTTTAAAACGTTAGGAAACAGAACAGTAAGAGGACCAACCTGACCTTGGCAATGGCCAAGAAGTTCTACTGAAGTAGTAACTCACTCAGCAGCCCTTCGCTAGCAACAATTACTTCCTATCAGCCAAGCATTATTATTTTCTTAATCTAGAAATGACTGGTAGAGGTCTACGTGGGCCACTGAGCATTTAAGGCCAACTAAAAGGACTTTTATGGAGCTCACCGAAGTGCTACATAGACATAGTCTGAGAAAAAACTGTTTTATTATGCAGAGGTAGTTGTTTTTTTTTTCTTTCTTGTCCTCTTAATACTAACTTGCAACTAAAATTTGAGAATAAATTTGGTCCCAGGTAAAGCCAAACAACAGTACCTGGATATTGCTGGATATTTCATCAGTAAGTGCAACATGCAAAACTATCAGTGGCTCTCCAGGTATTGCACAGTGGGCAAAATAATAACACCTTCTGTAGGACCCAACGCGGCGCTTCATATCCATCCAATTTCGAACAGGATGCACAGCTTCACTGCTAAAAAATACAGAAGATAAAAAGTTGCAGGTTTTACTGCTCTTTCAAACTAAAGTTATCCATGGACAAACAACAGAGCAACATAACCTTGATAATGTACATGTGTAGGTGACACTGAGATTGCTTGAACTTGGGGAAGCACCACACACTCAGCAATTTTTGGCACTTACTCACTAATCTTTTGAAGAATCTCACAGGGAGACTGCCATGTAACTCGTTCCAAGTTTAGAAATCCAGTGGAAAACCATTCTGACATCATGTTCTTTAATACTCCATTCATTTCCTACAAACAGAGAAGGTAAGTTCTTAAGACTTCAGCAGCAGGACAGGTCTGCTCCTGGATATCTAAGAGGTCTCCTCACTCAGTATCAAGGTCACCACAATCTGAAAGCTATTGGGGAAGGCTTGCAGATAATCCCGTGTACACAAACATTTTACTCCATAGCACACCAGACCTCTGGAATATAATTCCAATAGACTTGAGGCAGGCCCACTGTCTCTGGGTTTTTAGGAAACAGCCCAAGACTTTTCTCCTTACTCTAGCATTCCCTGAAAGTTTAATGGTCCTATTAAATTTGGCTTTATATTTTTTTAGAAGGTTTAGATTTTTAATAATCATATTTTAATGTTTTAAGATTATTTTAATGGTTGAAATTCTAACACTTGGGAAGCCACTCAGTGCTGAGCTAATAAGGCAATATCTAAATCTAATAAGCAAACAAATAAATGTAACTGTACAGTCTCATGCCAGAAAAATAGTCAGCAAAACTTCTTTATGTTATTTAAAAAGTTATTATTAACGAAGAGTTAAAGCTGCTTTACTTTTAAAGAGTTAAAGACCTAAAAAAAAAAAAACAAAGAAAGGGAGGAAAGTCACAAGGTGGCTCAGATTTTCTGAGAAGTGAATTCTATTACCGATCATGAGAACAGCACTTGCATATTTTGCAAATAAGTTCTTCTCAAATGAATTCAATTCACAAGCTGCCTATCTATACTTATGCATACTTTCCACAGCAATCTGGAAGATGGGCAGGATAGAAATAACCTGCACAATCTGTTTTAACTTCAGTAATGATATTCCCCCTCCATCTTCCCCTCCCCAAGTGCAAGTATGTTTCTTCAAATGTCATTCAGCGAATGTTCTGTTCTATCACAGCCACCAACTGCTGTCTGAACCATGCAACTCAAGGTCAATGCATACAGAATCAAGTGTGAAAAAAACCAGAATGTCCCACTTCTACATATCTGAGAATTACGGGGTCTTCTGGAAAGGAGATTTCAAAAATCCTACAGTTGTGACACTATTCATTCTGTTGAGATTGTAACACATACTGTAACGTGTGGACTTAGAAGATAGCTGAAATGTTTTTTTCTGTGGTTTCAAGGAAAATATTTAAAACCTACGAAGGGGGCTTCAGGTGTTGAGAGGTTAATGTCAACACAGTTCAAGTAAAAGGGAAGCAGCAAATAAAAGCTCTTCTAACTTTCTTAGTACCTGGTTTTGCTGCAATTTATGGCTGGACTCTGACTGACCTTGGAAGCATTTTCTACTGCAGCTACTAAGTTTCAAAATAATGCCAGAGTTTCATTCTCTAACACTGCCTTGTCATATACATTATTTTTAAAAATTGAGTTTGATGTGTACGCACAGATGTGGGAGACATGAATGTAAGCTCAAATGCATGAAAACATGCATTTAATCTGAATAGCCTAAGCCAAGTGATGAACAAAGAACAATTAAAAGTCCTTCTTGCTAAGATTTTACAACTTACACTTCCTTATTCCATGACTGTACTGCTAGCACAGAGATCTTATAGTTATTAATTTCTGAAACCATGAGAGGCTGAACTAAATGTCTGCAAATTGGTTGGAAGCAGAATGAAATAAACAGTTTTTGCATTCATCTGCCATTTATCTCAGTTTCAGCAAGTAAACATAAAAAGACTTGATACTGTTGTTTTAGAAAATAGCAATTTCACTAGGAGGCATTAGACTGACAAATGTTCCATAGAAGAAAAGTAACTCAAGTCAACCTCCCCTTTTAAGAGGTTTATTGGAAAAGAAAAAAACATTAACATTTTCATGAACTGTGATCTCAGAACAACCTGAGTGAAGCAGAAAAGTCTGTTGCAATGCTTTTACTAAAATAAACAGAAGTGCTTAACAAAATACACTAGAGAGTTCCCTTAGCCAAAAGAATTATCTCGAAAAATCCAAAATGAAAGATTTCATATCATAAAACACACTATCTTTTAATTTGTCACACTACAGTACTAGATTTGTACAATGGCTCCAAACTCTTTATGGTATACCATGGACTAGGGATGTGCAAATCTTCTGGGTTAGAAGAGTTGGCTTAAGAGTGGTTCATACCTGAACCAAACCATGAATGTTTCTCACGTTCTGACAGAGAATGAAACAGGATTGTTTGGACATACTACGTACATATGTTGTTCTAAAATAACCCACTCAAATCATTAATTAGCCTGATCCTATATTTTAAAAAAATGCAGTCACAAAAATCCATAGTTTTATCTCTAAAAGCTTCATTGACAAATTCACGTATGTTTTGCTTTTGTTTTTAAAACTTGCTACTTTAAGATAAATGGCTCTCTTTAGTAGTTTTTACTAACCTCCTCCACCACATTTGGAAATTCAAACTTTCTTATTTTCCAAAGTGAAAGGCTCAAATGCCAACGTGTATCTAAACTAATAGAATCTAATGCAAAAATAATGTCCTATGTCCTAAATTAAGCATACAGATATAAAATTACAACTTTTCTTTTTAATTTCAAATAGGAATAATGCAGGATTTAAAAATAAAAAACGAAGCCATCACTTGAAATGCATCAGATGGAATCCTCAGTGAGAAATATTCAACCTAGCCAGGTTTTGCCTGGTTAGAAGCAAGCTGGGGTGGGTTGAGGGTGGGGGGACTGGAGAAGAATGGAAAATTGTTTATCCCTGAATCTTACCCTTCTCATAAAATGTGCAATTCTTGGAGATTCCCCCCTCTCTTGACAAGGGAGGGGGAGGCGTTCCTTAAGTTTTTCTTTATAAAAGTCAGTATTTCACAGTGAAAGGTGCTATTCATTCTGATATTAAAAATGACGGCAAATTTTCACTTACCTTCTCCTTACTAACTTCATTCAGAAAAAGAGGGAAATTTAAGCACTGCATGTTTACTTTGACAGCTGTGGAACAGTACAGCCTGCTACACAGGTTTTTAAGACATATATTTCTCAATGGGCAGTTCACAAAATTAAAATTTCTGAACGTTAACTTTAAAACATCGTTTCCAAAGAGCTACTGCCTCACAGAAAGAGCAGTGAAAAGTTAGCAATTAAAAGTTCTCTTGGCGGTTTCTCTCTCGTTTAACTATTCCCTGGAATTTCCAAAATCTTGCTTGACTCTGGCTGCTTAGTCAAAGGTGGGGGGCCTGAGACCATGTTGCAAAACCATATTCTTGGGCTGTCTGCCTTTTATTATTGCTTTAACTACATGGACACTTAAGGACTTTATAGGCAATGAGACTTTAAAAAGAGCTTAGGGGGACATCATGCCTAGAAATAAAAGCAATGTCTCCTTGACACATAAAAATACATTGTCCTCCATGCTACCCAAATGCACTTTTCAACTTCTTAGGAAAATTCTTTTTACTATACATTCCCATAGTTGAACTCTGCCAGTGGACATGCCTAAACAGAAACACCGCACCGAGGTCACAAGGATCTATCATCCTCTACAAATTCAGCAGGAAGACATTTACTGTTTCTTAGCAACTAGTCACTAAGGAGCTAAGTCATTTTCCTGCACCACTGCTCTTGATCCCACTGGCTATTTAACCTTAGAATGGGCTAACCTTCAATGCAGACACATTCGTATTTGAGGGAGATGCTCCCTCTCTGAATAGGAACCCATTATTCACATAACATGTTCTTGCCTAAATGCTCAGAGCTAAAAAAAAAAAAAAAAAAGCTTTGATTACTTTAACCTTCTCCTCCTGCAAAGAGGAAGGCTGCAAATCATGTCTAAAACTATAGAGTTTGGTCATTTCTCAACTATTCTGGTACCCTGATGACCAAGCCAATCTTACTTATGTCCGCAACGTACTCAGCTACACACTGCTTAGAAGGGTAGCCATTATGAAAGAGAATAAAGAAATCACACAAGGAAGGGTGGGGGGGGGGAAACTACTGCACCTCATGGCCTCATCCTATGCACAGAAGCGTTGCCAGAGCAGCTCACAGGATCACCCAAGATCCTCAAATGTGGCACAAGTGTTACAAACTCTGCAGCACCCTTGTTTGCTGCCCTGCCAGCAGCACACACATGCCACACGCTGGCACTTGAGATGAAGCTCAGAAAGTTATATCGAAACAATTTCAGCCAAAATTAATTGTTCTTCTCTTCTGGAATAACCTGCAGTTTACCTTATCTCTAGGCAAACCACAGGATGTTATTTAGATTACACCAAATAAAACAGGTTAACATGATGGGGTTTCTGGAGGTTTCAGTGATATACAAAGCTGCCTTCACTGATAACACTAAGTAGCTTGTACACAATGTGCCATTTTTAAAGTGACACTGTGGGATTATACAAGAGATAGAAAACATGTTTAATGCTGCCCTGCTTCTGGAATGATTATTGGGTTGTTGGGAGGTGCTTCAAAGAAAAAAGGCAGAGTTTTTTTTTTTTTAAAAAAGCAGAATTAAACTTATGAAAATACAGTTAAGTTGATAGGTGTCAGTTCCACACAAATACTGAACTAAAAATAAAAACCAGAGTTCATCTCTAGGACACGGTCACCAAAGGATAGCACAAGAAAAGAGCTGCAAACAGAGCAGAAAACTGAGAGAAGTGATCATGCTCTGAGTTAGATAACTAAATCTACTGATCTCAAACTATTTCTTTAAAATGCCAACTATTCTTGATGATACATAGAACAAAAATAATTTTCTTCCACTAAATGGCCAAATGTATGTCTTCGTTATTAGAATTGTACTGCTTTTAAAGGTGTAAGCCACCCAGAGCCTTGGGGAGTCAGGCAGCCTCTAAATTGTGTAACTAGGTAACTGATCACAAACCCCATTGAGGAAAAAGGCAAAACACTTGAAGGACACAACTTGCATAATTATGCAGATTTTGTTTAAAAAAATCTTTCCTCACTGAAGCACAATGTTCCTTGCCAAGGCCAATTTTATTCTTAGTACTGCTATGACTGTCTACCACATCAATGACATGTGCTGTTCTGATACGCTGAAAACAGAAACTTGGCACCAACACATGAACTTTGCTCTAGTTCTGCCAGTCTTTTTCAAGAGTATCAAACATTGCACACATGACCACACATATTTTTCTCCAGTTACAACATGAACTGTCCTGTTCCCTGATGTACCTTATTCTGAAACCAACTAAGCATAAATACAAAATACCTATTGAAACATTTGCCCTCTGGAAAAAAAATCTTCAGAAACTACAATCCAGCCTATTACCAAATACTGGTTGTTCTTGACTTAAGACCATTCATTTAACAGCCATTCAACGTTACAACAGCGCTGAAAAAGTGACCAGTCCTCGCACTTATGACCATTGCAGCATCCTCACAGTCACATGATCAAAATTTGGGTTTCAGTGTCCCAGGGTCACATGAGCACCATTTGCAACCTTCCCAGGGGGCTTCCATCAAGCAAAGTTAATGGGGAAGCCAGATTCACTTAATGAGCATGTGATTCGCTCAACAACTGCAGGAAAACAGATCATAAAATTGGGTGCGACTCACTTAATGACTACAACATTTAGCAACAGTTCAGGTCCCAATTATGGTCGTAAGTCAAGGACTACCTGTATTACCTAAGCTATATACACCCCAAATTCCCATTCCCATCCTCAGTTCCCACTTTTATATGGAATCCCAATTCATCACCCACATTTGTAAAGACTCAAATCTACTTTATTTTAAGAACCCAAGAAATAAACTAAAAAGCACGACTATGATTGCAATGCTTATAATTAAACCTAACTAGCCTAAGAAAAAGTAGCTGGTTGTCAACCCTTAACTGACTACAGTATATTGTTAATAGCAGCCTAACACACAAGTATGTAACATTCTTCCTATTATGAAGTAGAACCAGTAACTAATAATCCTCAAAAAGTGCTGATTAAAAGCAGAAAAAGAGATTTGAAAGTTGCACAGGCCCAGACTACACTAAAGCTTCAGTTACTTAAACTCCCACAAAAAGAAAATTGGGGCTATTACAAACCAGCTTTTGCCCCCTTAAAATAGACCTTGGGGTTGTCTCAACAATCTGATGCACAAGACATTCAGGACAGATGAGAAATGTGTCTTCACACAAAGTATAAGTTACAGACTCCATTACTGTAAGATCCAAGAATCAGTTCTGGTTTTCTCAGCTACAAACGGGAATTGGATAATTAATGCAGAAGTCTAAATAGCCCCAGATGCTGCCAACTATGGAATTTCATCGGTGGTTTAATAAAATTTGTGGGCAAGAAGACAGCTTCAGTGCTTTAATACATGCAAGCTCACTTTCCCCTCTGCCTCTCCTACGCACATTGTGGCTTTGGATGAGAAGAATTTAGTGGCAAATCACACCCCTCGGAGCTCATCTGGATGATGCTGGCCTACCTCACAGAGCTGGTATGGGGGAATAAAATGAAAGAAAATAGTACGGGGAAAGAAGCAGGTGTGCTCCTAGAAGAAATGAGGTTTACACTAAGGTGAAAAAGAGAAAAAAAAAACATCGTGATCTGGGAAAAAGAACTGCTAGAAAGGAGAGGGGGATATAATCATATGTTGATAGCAAAGACCAACAGAAATCAGGTATGCTTCAAAAATAAAGTAACATAAAAATGCATTTTGAAAAAAGAATAATATGCCAAACTAGGATACTAATATCAGGAGAAAAAAAGTACATCGTGCAAGTACGACATCGTAAGAAAAATTATGATGTTCGTTGGAGACACAAAATATATTAGAAGACCACAACAAACAACCTATCAGCTGAAACAATAAAAAAGAACATTGTCCAAAAGAAGAAACAGCCATGGAGAAAAAGGAATTTTTAAAAGGCTATTGCTGGAACAGCTCAGCCCTGTTGAACCTCCACCTGGCACCACTGCCAGAACAGCTCCTCCTTCTGAACTTCTGCCTGGCACTATTGCCCAAACAGCCCCTCCTGTTGAACATATGCCTAGCACTGCTATACCAGTTGAACCTCCACCTGGCACCACTGCCAGAACAGCTCCTTCTGAACTTCTGCCTGGCACTATTGCCCGAACAGCCCCTCCTGTTGAAAGTATGCCTAGCACCGTTATACCAGTTGAACCTTCACCTGACACCACTGCCAGAACAGCTCCTTTCGAACTTCTGCCTGGCACTATGGCCAGCACGGGCCCGCCCACCCAGCAGAAGGGGAGGGGCCTCCGGCTGCCCACAATGCCTTGCGGGGGCGCCCGGCGAGACCCCGCTCACCCGGACGTGCGGGCCGTGGGCCCCCCGCGCCGCCAGCGCCTCGAGCAGGTCCGCGCGCAGCTCCACCAGGAAGCGCAGGCCGCCCTCCTGCCGCACCAGGTGCTGGAAGAGCCCGCGGTAGCGCGGCGTGAGGGCGTGGCGCAGGCGGTCCTCGGCCTGCAGCAGCGCGCCCGGCTCGTCGCCCCCCGCCGCCGCCTGCAGCCGCAGCACCCGGGCGCTGCCCTCGGCC